ACTCAATATTTTTTTTTTGTAATTAACAAATTTATAAAATATCTGAGTAAGCCAAATTGATGGAAGTAATCTGGTAATCAGTATAAAAAAATAAATCATATATGGCATTACTCTACTTAAGTTCAACTCTTTGAAAGACTGATCTTCCCCCAGTCCCCACCTAAATTCTCCCCTCTTTTATATTTTCTGCTATCCATGATGCAGTGAATGTTCCAACTAAGACGGTAAGTCTAGAAGTTTGACTTGAAAAAAAAAAAAAAAAAAAAAAAACCGCACACAAAGAAAATGATCACCAATCGGGCTTAATTAACTTAACTTTAACCCCATCGTGGATGCTACTTACACAACCTCTATCGTAATTAATACCACCTTATTATACATTTTCTTAGGTCCATGTATACTTTGAGCAGCATAACTTAGGGTCGACTGAACAAAATTTTCTTAAAAAACAAACACTTTCGAGCTATTGCGCGTAATTTCTTCTTTTTGCACAATGGTAAGTGACTTTTATAGCTCAAATCAAACCCTCAATGGCATTACAGAACTCCTTTCAGGCCTATTCAGCCTAATTTCATGTAACACAATTTTTTTGTAAAAAATAAAGAAAAATTATAAAAGGTCTGAGCAAGCGAAATTGATGGTGTAAACTGGGAATCAATGTGAGAAGCAAAGCAAGAAACAGTTAAGAATTTTAGCTCGTATAGAAATAGAATGTCAGCGCAACATTAGGCTTTTTTACCATCGGAATTCTCATTTTTTTTCACCTAATCAGACAGATTATATTCCTCCATCTTGGGGTATGGAGTGCATAGTTAGATCATAGGTGGAATAAAACTTTGTTTTTTAGTTGTAAAGGAATCCGAAGCAGAAAAAAAAAAAAAAAATTACATTAGAACACCACCACCAAAACTAGCAGCTACCATTGTTCCTTTGATCCGATTGTATGCAGCCTCTGTTCCTTTCATTATCTCAACCACTGCTTTAGTCTTCAACTAAACAGAAAAGGCTTTATAATTCCTATGTGCTATCGAGGATATAATTTCTCGTAAATTCTTTAACATCGGGTAGATCACTAATTAGTTCGAGTTAGTTACATACAACCTAGATTCCAAGAGAGCATCCCTCAATCTGATTTGGGAATTTCATCATCATTAATTTTGCGGATGAATGAATTGGAAGATCAGAAGCAGACCGAGAAAACAGAGAATATGCAGCAATATTATACAAAATATGAAAACCCAATTCCCACTTATGCATAAATAAAAACAGAGCAAAAACAAATTAGTCCTTTTTTTAAAAAAAGGAAACTATTTTCGACCCACAACATCTACACTGGCAGAGCAAGTGAGCAGCCTATGAAAAAACCTAAACAAAACAGAGCAGGATGATTCCTTCCTCTTCCTCAGACCCTTTCCTCTCCGGCGTTTTCTCTTCCCGGTTTCTGCCACTTTCTCCTTCACCCGTCCAAAGCACTTCTGGGTTTTCTCTGGCACCGTCTCTTCCCTCGAAAAAGTGTAGCTCCGGAGGTACAACTGACGACAGGAGATGCTGTCCACCACTCTAGGATGACAGTAGTAATTGCAATTCATATTTACCACCGCCTGCTGCCGCATTCTGGAACTCACTGACCGGACGAACTCGGCGTCGGACTCCGGCCACTTATAGAGGTTGACATAGGTGGCTCTGACCGGAACCCGAGGGTCCCGGGCGTCGTTGACGCAGTTGGATATGCAGACTGAGGTCATGGTTTGATGAGAGGTGTGAGGAAGGGGTTTGGGGGGCTTATAAAGTTAGGGAGGCTTAGATTGGAAGAAAAGGCAAACAAGGGAAGAAAGGGAAGGTGGGGACTGTATGAATGAATGTTATGATTTAGCATAATTAGCTATCACTGTGTTTGAGCATGGTGTATAATGTGCTGGTAGGCAGAGTGGATGGACAAATCAAAATAAAGGTAACACCATTTTATTTACAAGGTTCCCCACAATATTGTTGATGTGATATCCTATTGCATTGAAGATTTCTTCTTTCGCTTTGTGAAGTCTAAATTAAATCTAGGTTTTGGATTATAAGTAACTTTGACTTAAGTGCATGTGAGTAGACAGATTT